CTTGATAACTCAGAAAAGGGGGGGGAAGCCTTTTGTGTTGTAGCCAGTGGTGATTGTTGGCTCTGGATAAATGTAGGTCATTCTCCTGCTCGCCTCTAGAGACCTGCCCAAGGAAGTAGTAGGCTCTTTATTCTTTTATGTTTTGTCTATTCTTGCTCGCATGTAAGCATGCCAGGCTATTATTTATTCTGTCCCCCCCAATACAATTTATATACTGCTTGATTGTAAAGGGGGGGCGGCTCGAATACTACATTCCCCCAGTCTCAAATCCCCTGGCAGGATGAGGGGAACGATAGAAGAAGAAGGAAGATGAAGTATAGGAGCCAAAGGGGAATGGGTTACACAGTTCTCACTTGCACACCTGCAAAGCATGGAGGAGGGAATAGGCAACTGACATGCCTGATTTAACAGCCTGTTAATTGGGCAAGTTAAGAGTTAATTGTTGTGAAAGTGACTTTCTCTAAAGCACATACCAATATAGCTCAGTGGAATTGGTACTGAACCAAGAGATGTGGTATATCTATGTGTGTTATAAGCTCGGTGGTGATATCTAGTCAGAGGGGAAGGAGAAATAGGACAAGGGAGGAGAATTGGATCCTGGGGAGGAGCCCAGCAGTCTTGAAGCTGCTGATCTAGATGTGTCCTAATGCATTGTCCTGCCTTGGATGCCCCAACCACCATACAATATTAGAGCCCCCTGACTTGACCGTGGCACCAAATCCTGTCACTGAAGTGCTCCCTGCTCCCGGGAAGGCACCTAAGGCTAGATTGGAAAGTGAGCTGGCCAGGTCAACTCTGCCTCCATCATAAACAGTTTTCAGATCCTCTTGGATTCTTTTTTAGAAATACAGAGCATCCTCAGTATTTCTTATCCCCTTATTTGATGATGTGGTATCCTATTTAATTTTAATTTATGACACTATTAACTAAAGTGGTTTATTCTTTGTTAGTGTATGAAGCTCTTTGGTGTCCTTCCCAGTGTTGGCTTGAGTGCACTAGCAATATCCTTTATCAGAGTCAGTTTTCAGGCTGGATTCATCAGCATCCCATGTCCTTATTTGTATTCACAGCCTTAGGTATGTATGTTGCTCTTCCTGGCTTTCAGTTAATGGCTCTTACTTAATGTTGCCTGATGAGCATCTCTTATTTAGTAAATCAGTCCTTGAAAATATATTTGTATTGTAGTATTTTTAGGTATTGAATAATAGATAGACCTGAATCACCAAAGTTTTATCCCTCTTTAAAAACTACATGAAACTGTGTCTTTCTTTTGTGGGAACAAAATTTAAAGCTGAAGGAGGCAAGAATAAATGCACAAACTTAGCAAGATTCTAGTAGCTGTATAGCTGGAAAAACTAGTTTTTTTTGTTTGAATAATTGCATCAACCATCTGCTCTCATACTGCTAGGTAGTCTGTAGTTTCATAAATTGATTGGAAAGCAGGGGGCTCTTGCCCATTGGGATTGGTAAGCCACTATGGGCCACTGTTGTGATGAAATAAAGTACTAAATAATAGTATAGGTAGAGCCAGAGTCAATGACAGGTGAGGTCAGAGTCAGCTAATTTTAGTTTTGTCGGATCTACGCCTTGAATTAAGACAGGTTGTTGTTGTTGGTGGTGGTGGGACAATTTGAGATCAGACTGAGGTTGAAGGGGCAGTGCCCCTTTTACCCAAATACACCACCCACCCTCCACTACTGGAAATAATAAAAAGTAGATAGCTGAAAGACCATGTTTTTCACACTTGACTTAAGAAAATGATAGTTTGTACAAAGAACTCCTGCAGCAAATGCTTAAAATGGAAATGCCTTGATAGCTGCCTTGAAATGCTTTGCTATCAGTTGGTGAACTTGTTAAAACATTTGCTAGCATAAGCGGATGTAATTAATTCATATTTGTTGGTCTGCAAGTCTATGTGTAGATCTGCATTTAAAAACAAACAAGAACCTATTTGTGGACACAGAGTTACTTTTGTATATATTCAATAACTTCATATACCAGTATTCAGCATTGTGCTATTACAAATTTTCTATCTGCGCAAGCCATCAGCTTGACAGGTGGATTGATCTCCCTCCTCTTTTGTGCTGTTCTGTGGGTTCTCCTGATACCCCCCAGAACCAATTTTGGGGGCTTAGGAGGAGAAAAGGCCATTTTGCTCCTTGCAGAGGGCTTCCGCTGATGGGGTTCATTAGGTTGAGCCTGCCCTTTAAAAATGGATAAAAGCAGAAGTTTAAAACATTTTGTAGCTTAACATTTTGGAACTTTTTGCCAGGGAAGGAGGCACCTTTTAAGCTTTCCTTGCCCAGAAATCTCTCCCCTGTCCTGCAACACCTTTTTACCCTGGTTCTTCTGATTGCTGTAAAAAGCAGCAGAAATACTTTTTACTTTTAGTCTTTTTCCTCCCAGATCATTCTTAATAGGGTAACGATTGTGTGTGTCTTTTATTTGGCTACTTTAACTTTAACTGCTCATCATTTCACCAGGGAAGAACTTTTGTCTTGCTTTCCCCTGTGACACTTTAAATTCAAAAAATGCTAAAATTGTGTTGGTATTTTCTTTTATCAGCCTAGGAAGCAACAATGCTTGTCAAGTGCCACCCTTGTGTGGTCTTTTAAATTCTATTTTAGCCCTGTAGTGTATGTTACCTGTCTGCAGTTTACCCTCTGACTACAATTCAGTTACTTCATTCCATGACAAGTTAAGACGTGCACCGCCATGTTAAAGGAAAAACAGATTCCTTGATATCTGCCAAGAAGTTGTGAATAGGGATAAATGACATTCTGCCAAGGAAAGATGTCAACTTTTTCATCAGGCCTAATTTCCTTTTGTAGATTGTTCCTTACTCATTCAAAGTGGCTATGTAGAATGAAGTAAGCTAAGGTACATTAGGATCAGAAATCTTGTTTCATAGCAATTCCCCCCCCCCACCGCCCCGATGGAAAAGAGTATGCAGCTTGTAATAATCTGGTCAACATACAGTCGACCCCCAACTTATGCACATTTAACTTGCACAATCTCAGCTTTACGTGCTTGGTGGCTAAAATTGCACAAATTAAGCGCTCACAAAGCGGAGAGCTTTAAAGCTCTTTCCATGTCAAGTTCTCCCAGTGCAGAAAGAGCTTTTAAGCTCTCCGCCTTGCTTTCTAGGCTCTGGTACACTCTCATGAGATCTTGAATGGCCCCGTGAGAACTTGCCTCCCAGAGCCCAGGAAGCAAGGCAGAAAGCTCGAAAATGATCTGATTTGCATGGGGGGCAAGGCTTGCTCAGTGAGCTTACTTAAGAACAGTAGGGATGCTCATGGGGTGGGGATGGTTCTGGGGTTGTTTTGACTATATGTGATTTAGGTTTTACGCGCAATCCCTGGAACACAGCCCACACACAAGTTGCAAGTTGACTGTATTATAACTTAAACTAGAAAACTGCATACTTAGTGCAAATACTTGGACATGCATTCTTCTGAAATCTCTACCAGATGATGTAGAGATGGTAAGTAACCCATATAGTTGTTAATTACAGATGGAAGAAGATTAATCCACCCTCTTATCAGTGAGTGGTGTATAAGAATATGGCTAATATGGGCAAACTCACAATTGTGATAAAAGCTAGAGAGGGAAAACAATAAAATGATCAATTTATACAGAAATGGAGCATGTTCATTTCTTAATGGAATGCTAGGATACAGGATCAACAATATTCTTTATTGATTAGCCACAATTTCTTTTATTTTTTCTATTTTACATAACTCAGCTTACTGATACGAATGGCTATGGTTATGATTATTTTTCTGCTATCACATTATATACCTTACTTCATGCTATTTATTTTTCCTGTTTGTTGACTGCAAAATTGTAAAAATTATTATAGTGCACTGTGGGGTTGTAAGCTTTTATCACTTTTGGGAAAAACAAAAAACAAAATCAGTGGAGCCTACTTCAGAATGAACACGCTTAGGATTAATGAACAGCATACAAAATTGCCTTTATACCCGACAACCTGGTTCAGATGTAATGATAGACCATGGTTTCTTATAACAAACAGGAGACTTAGACTCATGCATGAGGAAAGATTTAATTCTTGTTGGTTCTAAACTGCAGTTTTCTGTTTTGTCTGATTTTGGGAAACTCTGGCTTGAACATAGGGGCCGCTTATTTTTGGATCTAGATTTAGTTAGGTAGCCATATTTCTGACACAGTCGAAATATACCGTATTTTTTGCTCTATGACTCACTTTTTCCCTCCTAAAAAGTAAGGGGAAATGTGTGTGCGTCTTATGGAGCGAATGCAGGCTGTGCAGGTATCCCAGAAGCCAGAACAGGGACTGCTGCTTTCACTGCACAGCGATCCCTCTTGCTGTTCTGGCTTCTGAGATTCAGATTTTTTTTTTCTTGTTTTCCTCCTCCAAAAACTAGGTGCATCTTGTGGTCTGGTGCATCTTATAGAGCGAAAAATACGGTATATATACATACATATATATATACACACACGCGCGCGCGCGCACACACACACACATATATATAAATATATACATATATATATATATACACACACACACACACACACACACATATATATATACACATACATATATAAAAAGGTAAAGGTACCCCTGCCCGTACGGGCCAGTCTTGACAGACTCTAGGGTTGTGCGCTCATCTCACTCTAGAGGCCGGGAGCCAGCGCTGTCCGCAGACACTTCCGGGTCACATGGCCAGCGTGACAAGCTGCATCTGGCGAGCCAGCGCAGCACACGGAACGCCGTTTACCTTCCCGCTAGTAAGCGGTCCCTATTTATCTACTTGCACCCGGGGGTGCTTTCGAACTGCTAGGTTGGCAGGCGCTGGGACCGAGCGATGGGAGCGCACCCCGCCGCGGGGATTCGAACCACCGACCTTTCGATCGGCAAGTCCTAGGCGCTGAGACTTTTACCCACAGCGCCACCCGGGTCCCTATATACATATATGTGTGTGTGTGTGTGTGTGTGTGTGTGTGTATATATATATATATGTGTGTGTGTGTGTGTGTGTATATGTATATATGTATATACATATATACATGTATACACACACACACACACACACACACACATATATATATATATATATATATAAAATGTCCAGTAGCACCTTAGAGACCAACTAAGTTTCTTCTTGGTATAAGCTTTCATGTGCATGCACACTTCTTCAGGATGTATCTGAAGAAGTATTCTTGCACATGAAAGCTTATACCAAGAACAAACTTGGTTGGTCTTTAAGGTGCTACTGGATAATTTTTTAATTTCTGGATGATAGTGAGTGCCGATTGTCACCTGGCATGACTGCAGTCCGAGCCCAGGGCAAACTTCTGGTCCTGCACAATAGGTTGGGAGATGACATTCCATCCTCCTTTGGTCACGGCAGATTGCTGGGAGGCTTGTAATCAAATGGACCTATCAGCTTAGAGCAAAAACCAGGAGTGAAACCTATTATTCTCGTGTTGCAAGTGAGTCTGAGGCTCATACCAGCTTGTATTTCCAACACTTTGTTTTATATGAACTCAGCCACTGAGCCAAATCAGCTGACCCACTACTGTGTACTTTGGTAAAGCTTTTAAGTAGGAAACAAACCAAGGAGGTGCAACATAGAGAGTTTTCTTTTTGAGGCTGATTATACTATGTGAGAGAACTCTGCTCACACTATATTTTGCCCCCCACCCCCATTTTTTCTGGTGCTTCATTGCTGAACAAGAGTGCAGGTTGGTTAGTTCTGAATAACTCTGGGTTGTTCATGTTGCAAGCTGAAACACGGAGTGAAAAGTGTTAAAAATTCAGAAGATTTAATGTTTAGGCATTTTGTTTAGCAATGTTCAGTACTGGTATAATTATAGATGCATTGTATTGTTTACTGTAAGCATAGCGTGTGTGGATAAATATAGATTAATAGTAGCTGAACTGTTATGAGCTGACTGGGCATATGTCCAAGATAATAAAATATTGACAGACTCAGTTTTTTGTATAGTAACGTTTTTAACTTTGCTGTGATGGTGCTCACATATATAGTTGGGGAAAGTTGGAAATGTAGATTAAGCAAACTACTTTTTAGTTCATTTCTTTTTCTGATTTAATGCATCATTCAGTCTAGAAAGTTGTGCATGATATTGCAGTTTAGAGTTTTGTTTCTATAGTGAATGTTGTTTTTTCCCTTTCAGGTTAGCACTGTATGTATATGAATATCTGCTCCATGTAGGAGCACAAAAATCAGCGCAGACGTTTTTATCAGAGGTATGTTTCCTATCATTTTTATGTCTTCCAGAATTCTAGATAGCCAGTTTCACTTGATGGATAGGATTTAGGCTAGTCTTGTGAATTCAGTGTACAGTATTGTGAGCTGTTGTTTTGTCCACTTATATGAGTTCACTCCACTCTAACTGATGTCTGGTGTGTACTCCGTCACTCTTTAAGGACAACTACCATGAAGGTGAGGGTGAAAGACATGCAGCAGCCACAGTCATTTTTCTTCAGCTGGAAAAAAGCAGCTGTGTGTGGTTGTTGCTTGCTTCTGTTCCCTCTTACTTGATACTAGGACCATTTCCTGGAGGCAAGCTTTACTTGCCACAGGTCATCGCTTTTTTAAATGAGTTGGTTTGAAGCAAAAAAGATTTTTTTAAAAAAGGATTCAAGTATTGTATAGCCACATTAACAACTAGATAAGATTTTCCTGTGCTTTTCTTGCTATGCCCTCAGTAGCATAAACTTCACAGTATTGTAAATTGCTTCAAGACTTTTTGAAGAGAGAAGCAATGTATACATTTATTAAAAATTCAGCCTTTGAAGGAAATGGCTATCTGCTTCTGTTCATAAAATTCATGAATAACACAAGTAACACAACAGAATAGCACAGGTTTTCAACATGAATATATGTGCATATCATTTAACTAATTATGCAGTTCTATATTGGAGTGGTCCATTTATTTCTATGAATATTTTCTGTTTCCTCTGGAGTCCCCTCTGGGGGTAAACAAATGTGTCTGTTTCAGTTTCTCACTTTTTCAGCCTTCAGTTCAGTTTGTTCCATTTCAGTATCAGTTGGCAATTAAAAAAAAAATCCGCATGAAAATGTTAAAACATTTTGTGTATGCTTCTCTTAATATACACATTTATGAATTTTCTCTAATATAGTGCATTTCCTTAGGTATATTATTGAAAATAATGTACAAGTTTTGGATTGGAAAGCTGCACCACAAAATTAAGAGAAGTGTAAATTTTGAAGGATAGCAGCACATTGGCTCATGTATTGGAGTGCAATTTTCCTTTACTTGATACTTGATATCATTGGCCATTGGGAACAATAGACCTTTTGCAGGTGTCTGTTTTGGCACCTTTCAGTAAACTTTTAGAAAAATCATCCATAGTACCCACGGCTGTCAGCTGATTCATTTTTATATCGATTAATTAAACTTGAATTTTGTTAAAACACTGAATATAGATGTTATTTTAAGGATAATGGAGAATGATTTTTTTTTTGTAAGGTGCATATTTAGGCCACATTTCAATATTTTCTTTTCAATAATGTGGCTATCCAGCATAGCAGACAAAAAAATATATTACAGAGCGGCAATGGTTTCAATAAATTATCCCGAAACACCAGTACCATGAAAGGCACAAACTGGCATTGAGTTTAAGCTAGGGACCGTGAACTTCAGCGGTCTTTTTGCTAGAAGAAAAATGTATCTGCTTCTAGTCAGAAGGGAAAGAGGCCTTTTTAACTAATATGTGCTACAGTAAGAAGAAAGGTGGCTAATCTGTGTGATCAGCAGGATGTTGTTATTTCCAGCTTTGGCTTTCCTCATTCATTTCGTGGTTCGGGTGAGATTTGGTCTTTAATTCAAGCTTCAGGTGACTGATAATGACTAGCACGGAAAAGGTGGGTAGATAGGTTATTGAGAATCTCTTGTTCTTGTAATGTCATTGATCACTAGTAGGTACAAAACAAACAAAAGGAAACCATATTTTGTACAATGCATAGTAGTGCCCTGTTCCAAAGAGCCTCTTTAGTAGAGGTGCAGTGGGCTTTCACAAAGAAGAGGTCCTTTTCTGCAGTGATGCCCTCCCTAAGGAGGCACAACTGGTGCCAACATTATAAGCTTTTTGGCATCAGGTGAAGACCAGCATATTAGTCTCGGAATTGTTGATTAATTGGGGGGATTTTGCTGTATTCTGTTGTTTATATTTTGTCTAGATGAAAAAAATTTCTAATCACTATTTATGCTGGTTTTAGATAAGATGGGAAAAAAATATCACATTGGGCGAGCCCCCAGGATTCTTACACTCTTGGTGGTGGTAAGTATTTCAAGCTTTTAAAAAGACTACTTTGTTTTGTGTTTATTAAAGTGTTACTGTACAAAATCTTATTTTTATTAAAAATAACTAGAATCTACTGTTAATTTCTTTTTCGGAAAGAGTAATGTTTTCCAATATGGTGTCTCTTTCTCTGGGTTTCCCCACCCACACCCCCAAGATAGAAAAAACCACACACCTTTACTTGGTTGCTAGTTGTTTGTACGCTTCTGAAGTCCAAGGGTAACTTGCAGAGTGTCTTTTTCTGACTGGGAGGTTGAGGAAGGCCCCTGCAGCTGCTAGTTCTCTGTCTGCTGGCTGGGCTCAGGTAGGTCTCCCTCTTGCCATGATGTTCTCCCTGGAAGGCAGGGGGAGAAACTTCCAAGACAGGTCCATGCAGAGGCCTAGGGTGGGGGGACAGGCAGCCGGATACACTTGCCCTGAGCCTTGGAGGGCTAGGCTGGCTCCGGGCCCCACCTGGGACCGGCTGCTTTTCTGTTTTAGTTTATAACTTTATTTTAGCAAGACTCCCGCCCCAGGCCCTGCATGGACCTGCTCCCAGAGGCCTTGGTCCCGTTTCTGATGGAAGCGATCAGACTGTGCTTCCTTTAACTCTGCAGAATTTAAAATAATTGCATGCATTTGTATACTGTATGTTAGCTTGGTTTACATAGTCCTCCTTTTATTTTATTTTTTAAATAAAAACATAATTTTAAATGTTTACAATCTGTAATATTTACAATGTAAATAAACACTGGAGTAAAGTAATAGATCTTTATCCGGCAGCTCATTCTTCTCCCTTTCTGTCCCTTATATGAAAGTTTTGCAAGAGAATACATGCTGCACCCTGGAGGCTCAGGCTGGAAAATTGTTCATGAGCTTTTAAATGTATTTAAAGCTTTTTCTGATGTTGTTTTAAGCTCTGGATTGATTGTTTGCTTTTAGAATAGGTGCTCCTAAAAAAAGCAGCAAAAACAACTTCACCTGTTGTTAGATTTTCTTGTTATCCACGAGAGTTTTTAAATCTTTTCTTCATGCTTAAATCACAAAATGTATAATTTGGATATTCTTCATACAGCACACCAAAATAAGAAGTAAAATGTATAGATGTTGTTTAGTCTGTGTAATAGTCAGTTTAGTCTTTAGTGCTCTTAAGTTTGCAGAACTTCAGCAGTTTGTAATGCCAAAATGCTGATGCTGCACAAAACATAGTCGGAAAGCATGAAGAGAGATGGTAATCGGTACTGTAATTACCACAATAATTTGTGCATATGTTTGGGATCATACACCTGAAATACATGTAAAGTGTTACAATGCATTTTTGTGTCGTCCCCCCCATTTTTAGTGTGTTTTGGGATCTCTATTGCGCAGCTCCAGAAAGACGTGAAACATGTGAACACTCAAGTGAAGCTAAAGCCTTTCATGACTATGTAAGTTTTATGCTTATTGACTCTGTTTTGCCTGTTGGTTTGTTCACAAGTAGAATCTGCAATGTATGTCGCACTTTCCCAGCATTTAGGAGAGGTTTCTTTTGCCAAGTTCTTCAGTTCCTGTGATACATAGAGGAAGGAAAACTTACCGTTGCTGTGAAAGAGTTTATTTTATGTAGGTTAGCAAGGGTTCATCCTTACAAAAACCTTCCAGATATCAGCCCTATGGTTAAAGTCAAAGTAGTCATACCTTCCTAAATTGAATATGTTTGGCATCGGTAGAGAAGAGTGGGAAGCGTAAGCAAGAGCAGATCTGTAGGCAAGTGCAAAATTATCTAAGGCTATAATTATTAACCAACATCACTATTGGTGATTGAGGAAAAAATAGTTCATGGGGAAAAGCCAAAATCAATAGATAGAAGCATATGTAAATCTGTTAGTGGTCTACTTATGCAAGCTTTAAGAAATGGTTTGGGTGCTACTAGCTAGCAACTTGAGCGTAG